TTGATATATCATTTACTATTACTCTTGGTTTCAGTTTGAAGATTTTGCAAACCACCATGCGTTTGAGCTTCTCTCTAAGTACTGCTCCAGTCATCTCGTTTTCAATGATGATATCCAAGTAAGAACTTGTGTTCAACATTGGTATCATTTGTGAGTTTTTAAAAGGTGACTAGCAAGAATTTAATTTGTTTTGTCGGTGTAAAACTGCAGGGCACTGCATCAGTGGTTCTTGCCGGGCTTATTGCGGCTCAGAAAGTACTTGGTAAAAGCCTAGCTGACCATACTTTTTTGTTCTTGGGGGCTGGAGAGGTGAGACCTGAAAACATATACCAAATGAACTTTTTTTGTCAAGTATTTGTTTATTTTGTTATGTTGCTAAAGGTTTTTATCTTCTTTGAAGGCTGGAACCGGAATCGCTGAGCTAATTGCTCTTAAAATTTCGAGAGAGGTTAGATAGTTTTTCGCGGTTTCGCCTTCTTGAGTATTTTTTCATTAATTCCTTGGCTCCTTCTTACCAAGAACATGTGACTGTATTGTTTTGCAGACTGGAAAACCAATCGATGAGACCCGGAAGAAGATTTGGCTTGTGGACTCCAAGGTATTGTTGACTACATCATTGTTAACTATTACTTTCTTGTTCATTTACGAAACATCCTTTGGATTATCTTGCAGGGACTGATTGTTAGCTCACGAAAAGAATCGCTTCAGCATTTTAAGCAGCCATGGGCGCATGACCACAAGCCCGTCAAGGAGCTCTTGGGAGCTGTTAATGTAATTTAGAAAACTCATCTTAATATCTCTTCATGAGTAGAGGAGAAATGTATCTCAGACATTTTTAGTTCTTGTCTTAAATCAGGCAATCAAGCCAACTGTGCTTATTGGAACTTCTGGTGTGGGTAAGACATTCACTAAGGAAGTAGTGGAGGCCATGGCCACCTTGAACGAGGTTTTGTTTTTTCCTTCTTTCAATCTGCTTTCTATCTATATATGCTCTTGTTTCTCATGCACATCTTTGTGTGGTTGGTTACAGAAACCATTGATTCTTGCTCTCTCAAACCCAACTTCTCAAGCCGAGTGCACAGCGGAAGAAGCTTACACATGGACCAAGGTAACGATCAAAAGCTTATTGATACCGTCATGCACAACTGTAAATTTGCATTTGATGTGACTAAAGAAGCTTGTGTTCGATTATAGGGTCGTGCAATCTTTGCAAGTGGAAGCCCGTTTGACCCTGTTGAGTATGATGGCAAAAAATTCATGCCTGGCCAGGTTCGTTGATTTTCTATTGTAACATTTTTCTGAACAATTCATGTCCTTCCGATAACATCCCTTTTTTAGGCAAACAACTGCTACATTTTCCCGGGTCTCGGTCTTGGTTTGATCATGTCCGGTGCCATACGTGTTCGCGATGACATGCTTCTCGCAGCTTGTAAGTACAAGACACTCCTTTAAAAACCTGTTTTTAAAAAATTGACACATTGTCATATAACACTGCACTCTCATGAGCTGCCCCTAAATGGTTTCATGGTACTCGCCTAAAATACTAAAATACAACACTCTCTTATCATAAGTTTGTTTCGTAATTAACCTGCCATATAATTTTTTGTTTTTCCAAAAGATAAATTGTAGTTATTCTGCCTCATAATTTTTCATTTATTTCGCTAATTAGTCAATTAAAGATCCGCCATAAATCACGAGAAATGATCTAAGACCATTTGTCACTAGAAGTTTCACCGTTACTATTTAGACCATTTGTTTTTTTTTAACTTATGTTTTCTATCAGCTGAAGCGCTGGCCTCCCAAGTGACAGAAGAGAATTTCGCTAACGGATTGATCTATCCGCCTTTTGCAAACATCAGAAAGATCTCAGCTAACATTGCAGCCAGTGTGGGAGCCAAAACCTACGAACTAGGTTAGCTTCATAATTCTTCATATTAAAAATATGATTAGTAAAAAAAAAATAATCTCATTTGTAAAATCTGATGTCATGTTGTTCTTGGTGGTGTTGCAGGACTGGCATCGAATCTGCCTCGTCCTAAGGACCTCGTAAAGATGGCAGAGAGCTGCATGTACAGTCCTGTCTACAGAAACTTCCGTTAAAACATTCTTTGCTCATTTTTGTCCTCAGCTTTTTTTACTTTTTGCTTTTCAGTTTTGGTGCTTTCTATATAGGATAACTTCTACACTATTTTTACTTCTTTTACTTTTGCTTTTACTTTAAATAATGAAACATTTTAATTTAATTTTTATGAATTGTGAAATAATCTATTATTCATTTTTTGCCGTACGCGTGTTAGGTTATGGTTTTCTCAGTTTTTCTAGACATTAAATGACAATTAAATAAATTTAATTTAGGTAAAACTGCAGTGGTACATAAGTAAGACGAAAAGATTGGTGTGGGATTGGTGTGGGCAATGCAATGTTTGGACAACCTTTTGGTTTACAGGAGGTAGCTTTTGAGAGTGGCTCCAAAAACTTGATGACAGCTATTAATGATCCTATGTCTGGTTTGAGGTTGATAAAATTTACAGATCTCATTTTGGGTCCAAGAAGGAATTTGAAGCCATGTTTAAGGTTTAGAAGAAGGGAGGGAACTAATTGTGTTGATGCTATTGCTAAATTTGCATCTTCATGTGATGTGTATTACACTTTGTTAGATTGTAGGAGTCCACCTTTGGTTACAAACTTACACTCAATGGTGGATCATGAGAAGCAATGTAATGGTTCTTGAGTATCCTCTGAATATTAAAAGAGAGTTTTTGATGCTGATGTTGCAAGCCCATAATTTTTCTCAGCTTTTTTTTTAATTCTACTAAAATAATTGCCAAACACATTGTTTCTTATTTTCATTCTCTTTAAACCATTAACCAAACACACCTAAATTTCTTCTAATATGTATAGTTACCATATATAAATAATTGTATATTTCTCTATTATTATTATATTAATAATTTTGATATATCTACAATAAAATAACTCCTTTTTTAAATGCACATCTAATTTTTTTTTCTTACTAAATATTCGATTCTATAGATTATTTGAATTAGTTGTAATCTTTTAATATTTAAAAATTATATGTTATATATATATATGTGTGTATATATATTTATCTAATATTTAGTATAAAAAATTATTTCATTGACGCATAGTGAGACCATCAATTTGATTCGGAAACTTGGAAAATATTTTGTTTTAATTTTCGAATTATGTTTAACATATATTATCAAACTCAACACAACCACTATGTATGTACTCTTAAGATGTAATGAAAATTCTTAATAAATTAATACCAATTTATATATTTATTATGAATAAGACTATTAATAAAATTATTAAATAGTTTAAGATTTATCCGTGTCATCCTAGTTAATTTTAAGTGAGTATGTTTAGAGGAAAAAAAGGAAGAAAATTAAATTTAGGTAAACTATAATTGTTTAAGTTCTTATTACAAAATAATATAACTGTATCCAAAAAATTAGAAATAAAACTTAACACTTGATTTTATCCATTTAAATATTCATGTATCCTAGAATAATCATTAATACTTTAAATAGTAATATAGAGCTTATAATACAGTCATACATTTGTTATTCTAGATGTCCACATAAAAAAAAAATCATAGAAAAGAAATTGGGTTTTGTGCTAAAAAATCCTCAAAGTCGTCAATTTTTGCAACTTTACCCTCCATCTCCGAAAAATGCAAAATAATCCTATGAAATCAAATATAGCCATTTTTTGCTACTGTCAAGTTTTTAAAAATTTGATAAGTAACATATCAAATCGAAACCCTCGAGACAAGGAATTTTCAACCTTTAGATTTTTTAAAATCAAATATATGTGATCGTGAATACGTTGGCGTCGTAGGAGTATTCTGCATTTTTCGAAGGTTGGAGGTAAAGTTACAAAAATAGACTACTTTGAAGTTTTTTTGCATAAAACCCAAAGAATTTTGCATCCCAAAATATTTAAATTACAACGGTAAGAAGTTCATCAACATGTTTTTTAACTATTTTACATACGATTTGAATGGTGATAAAGAAATATAACAAAGGTGGTTAATGCTGATCGGATGGAACAAAAGATATGTAAAATGTTGAACAAATTTTGAATGGTGATTAAGTAAATACGGTGCATGTATAATAACTATCAAATTTTGACTACTTGTTTTCTAATGTTTCGAGTATCGGAAAATAGAATTTGAATAAAATTGAATTGGATGACAAAATTAAATCATTCTAATAAATATGGTGCACCGCATTCGAAAAACAGAATTCGATTATTATTGATTAAGAAAATAGGGAGCACCACATTTTTTATGCCACCAATTATAGTCTTAATATGAAAACTTTATTTGATACTTTACTAATTAACTACCACCATTTTTATCTTTATCGAATATTAGAAAGTAATTATTCTTTTTCTGTGCATAATAAATTAATTATTCTAACTATATTAAAAGGGAAATGAATAAAGCGCAAAGAAGTGTAAAAAGAGAATATTTGAAGTGATTTTGGGCCTAAAATTACAATCATTGCAAAGTCAATGATCCCATGTATCATATATCTCAAAAGTCAAGAAAAGATAAATAAATAATTATAAAGAGAAAGATAAAAAGGTTAATTAACAAGTGGTGGCCCTCCATTGGAAGCATAGTTATTCATGATAATGAACTAATGATGATTGTTTTGATTTCTTTTGTTAGAATGGTTATACATTCATTGAACATCTATAATGGTTCTTAACCTTTTTCTTTAAAAAATGGTAGGCATGCCTAAATGTGTATGAGAATTGGTATCAAAATTTTAATCATAACTTCTTCTTTTGGAACACAGTTTTAGCCGTTTTTCATTTTCTTTTATCATTGTTCTTTCGGTTGTTTTATGAACTTACATATATATTTTTTTCACTGCTAAACTGTTAAAATAAATTTGATTTTAAATGTTTCATTATTTTTTTTGTCTATAGATGATATATATATATATATATATAATTATAAAAAAATATAGACAAAAAAAATAATGAAACATTTAAAATCAAATTTATTTTAATTATAAACTGTTTTCTATATTTTTAGCCAACAAAAAGCGGATAAAATTTATAAATTCTATGGAAGTACAAAACTTTTACTAATTTGAGAATTTGTATTATCTTTTATCTTGGGGAAAAAAAATTTGTATTATATATATATATATATATATATATATATCATTTTACATGAACTTTTTGAAATATATTATATTGATTCATACATATATTTTCAGTTATCTTGATTTCTAAAATTATTAGATAATTCATGTTTGGGCATGAATAAATTCGGTTTATTATCAGATTAAAATGCACTCGCCTACTCATTGGTTTGGTATAAATTTCTTTATATGTTTTCTTTTTGATAATTCAGGTGCATCCCACAAGTAGAACTTTTCTTTGGATATTCAAATGACCCGTAAACATAGACCCATATCCGTATGAGTATCAAGAAAAAATATGTTTGAGTTTCATGCACTATGTAGATCAAACTTGAAGCGTGTTGACGCCCCAAATCCGTCTCCTTACCACTTGACTACAAAGCCCGGACAAATTTCTTGTTATGTTATTTACAACTGAACACATATTTTAAATTCGAGTTCTAACAAGACAACAAACTAATACAAACCATTAACCTAGAAGCTGTGTCATTATTAGGGTGATGATTTTTCTTGGTATGTTGATGATTTCTTGAATCCATTGAGCTAGGTCTTTTTTATTTTTAGAGGATTTTCTATAGCTCAATATAAGTCTATTTTATAATATTTTTTATAAAGCATAACTATTTCCATCCTATTTTTTTTATATACAACTTTATATCTTCATAAATTATTGGTTATTTTATTTTATCTTGTGGATTAGGTTTCTTGTTATAAGGGATCATCTATATATATAATAGGAGAGTTGTCTCTCCATATAGGGTGTCCACATCATCATCCAAGTCACCTTATTTTAATTTTGTGTGGGTTCTACATATTTTATTTAATAAAAGAAATAATATTAAAACTATAATTAATTCCCTCATTTTGTAATTTATATTAGTATTATATTTCATTAAACAAAAACAATAATTTACAATAGAATAAATTAAATATTAAAAAAAACAAAAAATATAATAGGAGAGTTGTCTCTCCGTATAGGGTGTCCACATCATCATCCAAGTCACCTTATTTTAATTTTGTGTGGGTTCCACATATTTTATTTAATAAAAAATAATAATATTAAAACTATAATTAATTTCCTCATTTTTTAATTTATATTATTATTATATTTCATTAAAAAACAATAATTTACAATAGAATAAATTAAATATTTAAAAAAACCAAAAAAAATAAATTTATAACACAAAATATGAAATTTTTGAATAGAGATTGGATAAACATAAAATTAGATAATTGTATCCTAACATATAATTTGTAAATATTCCTATATGACTAGATATGAAAGAAAAAAAAACTTATCATATATTTTAATGATTAAACAATTATTTTAAGAGTAACAATTATTTAGTAGAATAAAGAAAAGTAAGAATTAAAAATATATTAAATTTAAAGGTTTTTACTGAAAATAAAAAGTAATTCATTTCTGAAAAAATTTAAAATTAAAAATATATTTTTAATGTTAACGTATTAATTCATGATACTGATTTTTTGAAGAAGGGATATTACTATTTATAATTATAATATAATATAAATATTTTTATTAATAAAATTTTCTATATTATCAGTGTTTTCTAAATTAAAAAGTGGTGGATTTTTTTAAAAAAATCAAATGAATACCTAAAAAAAGAAAAACTAAATATTAATTAGTGTTTATGAAATTTTAACATAGATCAAAAAAATTTAAGGTGATTTGAAATAAAACAAAACTATCCTAAAAACACAAATAAAAATAAAATAATCCAATCGAATAAAAAATTGTGTGGTAATAATATTTACGAATGCTATTTGGAAATTAGAATAGTAATGGTATACTGAAGAGATTTGAATTAAAACTAAAAATGAAGGATTAAAAAATTGTATTTTAAAATTAGAATGATTTATATGAGTTCGTAAGTTACTCAATTTACGAAAATCAACATTAAACATAATATATGTGAAATTATATATGTGAATTTGTTTTTTGTATTTTTCAAAAGGTCAAGATAAATTGCAAAATTCGATGTTGAAATACGATGTTTTTGAATAGGAATGAGTTCATATATGAGATTTGTTGTCTATAAAGCAATTTTACATCTTTTACATGCACCAAACATGATCAAAAAAACTTTACGACAAATATCTCCCGAGATTTTTTAATGTTCACTTTAATAAAAAGTTCATGCAACTTATAAAAAAAATTTGAGTATTGAAAGATATGAATGATAAAATATATACGATCTATCTTGAGAACTAATGCATAGTCGAGAATATTATATGTGAGTCAATATAAGGTGAAAAGAGAGTAGATGTCGGGATACAACGAGTGAATCATAGAAGATATATAACAAGAAAAATTGTAGTGAAAAATGTGAAAAAATATTTACTATTATGGAAAAATAATGAAAATGAGTAAAGTAAATCTTTTAAAATTCAAATAATTCAAAGATTTTCATTGATGAAAAATGAAGTTAAAATCCCGCGCATCGCGCGGATACATAACCTAGTCCAGAATAATTAGACGCTTATTTGAATGAACTGAACGTCCATTTGATTATTTAAAGGATTAAGCAATGACGTTAAAAATACATTTCTTACAATATCGATTATACATAAGGCATAAATAAAGTCCATCGGATAAATTGAAAGTCTAGGACAAATAAAATATGTTAAATTTTCCCGCAATGCTAAATATGATAAAGAAAAATGGTTTTGGCACGAGTTAAAAAGAAAAAAAACGGTGAGGGTCCTTGAAAAAGGTCAAAAGACAAAAGAGAAATTCTAGATTGCATCATTGGGAGACACAAGATAAGTGTTAACCAATTCAGCTATAAGAAACTGTGAAATAGCCACAAACTTGTGTCTTCTTCTTTTCTTTTCTTTTTTTCTTAAACAACTTTTTTTTTTTTGGGGTTAAACAACTTAAATGCCTATTTCACCAGTTTTATTATTTGTAGTATTTAGCACAAACCCCATTAAACAGCTTATGTTAATACATTATGTGTCACAGCTATTAATTTTTCTAAGATTGAGTTGAAAGATCCTTAAACC